GGAAGATAATGTAATTCTTCTTCTGACCAGCTGAGTGTTATGACTGTAAAAAAGGCAGAAGTTTCTGACTGGAAAATTTTCTTATGGTTAGGTTTTAAGCTGAGCACACAAACTGCCTGTGTGGCCATTGACAAGATGAGATTTCTGTGCCAAAAAACAGAGCCTTCTGCTTCTCAGAGTAGTACTCCAAAACAAATATGGGAAATGGTGGGGGTCCTAAATCTAACAGCGTACTGGTCCCTACAGTTGAGATCAAGGCAGTTTTCACTGCATGGTGGTGTATACTAATTTTCTTGTGAAAATGTTAAAGGTTTGTATTACTTACATACTACTGAGTAACCTTCTCTTTTGGGAAATAAATACCAAATGCAGTAAAACTTATTTCCTTCCAGAAAAAAAGCAATTGAGGCCTGTAATGCTACATGTGCAGGTGATGCAGCTGGGGCCTGGAGAAGGTGGAGAAGACCTTTCCCAGCAGGGCTGTCAGAACTTCCCCCTGAAGTCATGGCCTTTCACCCTCCCTTGGCCATGGGAGGAACCTGCTGCAGCACATGGAGAAGGAAGGGAGGAGTAACGAAAAGGCCATGTGTAATGCACAAATCGGTGGGGTGCCAGTGCCAAAACTGAAACTTCGAGACAAAGGGACACCACATGTGAGCAGCAGAGGCACTCTAGTGCTCCTTGAGATTAAGCAGCTTCTGCTGCTACTTCAGGAAGGAAGGAAACTGAAATTCTGCACTTTTGTCCATAGGAACCAGAAAGGGGAAAAGTCAAGGTATAGACCGGGAGGGCAAAGTAGGGGAAAGGGCTTTAATAGCTGTGGGTACACAAGCTTGGACACTTGAGTTTCTCAGAAAAATATAGCTTCTGGGGTTTGAAAAAGACTGTCGTGGTTTAACCCCAGCTGGCAACTAAGCACCACGCAGCCGCTCGCTCACTCCCCCCGCAGAAGGATGGGGGAGAGAATCAGAAGAGTAAAAGTGAGAAAATTTGTGAGTTGAGATAAAGACAATTTAATAATAAAGCAAAAGCCCCACATGCAAACAAAACAAAGCAAGAAATTCATTCGCTGCTTCCCATGGGCAGGCAGGTGTTCAGCCATCTCCAGGAAAGCAGGGCTTCATCATGCGCAACGGTATTTGGGAAGACAAATGCCATCACTGAACAGCTCCTCCCTCCTTCCTTCTTCTTCCCCCAGCTTTATATACTGAGCACAACATCATATGGTATGGAATATCCCTTTGGTGAGTTGGGGTCAGCTGTCCCAGCTGTGTTTCCTCCCAACTTGCTGTGTACCCCCAGCCTGCTTGCTGGTGGGGTGGTCTGAGGAGCAGAAGAGGCCTTGACTCTGTGTATGCACTGCTCAGCAATAACTAAAGCATTCCTGTATTATCAACACTGTTTCCAACACAAATCCAAAACATAGCCCCATACTAGCTAATATGAAGAAAATTAACTCTACTGCAGCCAAAACCAGCACAGTCTTACTCCACTGTAGTGCTTTTTTCAGTCTCCTTTGCTCCTGCAGTTGTTTATCTGAAAGAGAATTTTTTGTAGTATGGTTGTACTAACACATTTAGATACATATAAGCAAGGTATGTTACAGCATCTGCAGCTCATTGGAGCTGGGTGCCAGTGTCTGGCAGATGGGGAAGAGATCACAGCCAGGTCACCCACGTTGTGGGCTGGTGCGGTCAGGGATGGAGGCGGGGGAAGGGGGAGGCTGGAGGGTGTTGAGGAGATAGCAAGAATAACCCTCGCCTGGGGGTGATCAAGTGCCAGGAGTCAGCTGAGTGTGAGGAGGGATGGCAGAAGGGCTGAGGAAGAGCAGGGGGCACAGCCTTGCTGGCGAAGGCACCTGAGGAAGGGCTGGGAACCCCTTCTGTGGGAGATCCCCAAAGTTTGTGGAGAGACCTTGGCTGATGATGGGGTGTTTGTGCTGGGGGAGGCTAGAGCTGTGGGGGTGCTGGAGGGAGAAGACACCTTGGTCCCGCTGGTAGAAGAGTCCTGGTTTCTTTGTGCTGCTACTTCACCTCACGGTATTCCTGCTAATTTAGGAGGTCTTGCTTGTCCAGATGTAAGACAACAAAAGAGCTGGAGTGTGACCCCTCTGGGAGCCCGGAATTAGCTGGCCATAGCTGCAGTGCAACAGTGCAAGGGCTTAATTTTTAAAGGGCAGTTTGTGATAGAAATGGCAGGTTTTCTAGACTCTAAAACACAAAATGTTGATGACTGGGGATGTTCCTGTTAAGGAGGCATGGGAGAGATGGGTGACGAAGATAATTGAAGTTGACGAGCAACTCCCTTCCCATCAGTCCAGGTGCTACTGCTTTCTTGCGAACATCTATCCTTCCTCTTTCTCTCCCCTGTCAACCAGAAAGTGGTGCTTTGCCTGACCCTCCCTTCTCCCGCTCTTCATCTGTGGAGAGAAAATGAATTTGAGGAAGCAGGTTGGATGGGGGAGGAAGAGGAGCGTAGCACAGGAAGGTTCAGTATTTTTCTTCATGTGACTGTGTTGGGGAAAATGGCCTACATATTTCTGTTCTGGTCTATCAAAATCATCTGCTACGCTTCCAAAGGAATGTCACTTAAAAAAGGGAAGTGGCAGTTGTGGTCTCTTTAATCAACTTCTCACCACTTGTGGCAGCATCTTAGATGAAAACAGAATCACTTTCTCTTCAAATTCTAGCCCAGAATTCTACTTGCTTCAGTATTCTGAGTCTATAATCCATCCTGCTCCCAGAACAAAGGATTCACCTGATATAAAGACATTATTTTCCATTAACAAATGGGGAACCAGTCCTTTTTCAAATTGGATTAAAAATTAGCAGACTGCTGTACCTAAAGACCACAGTTATTTTATTAAAAGTGAGGCAAGAAGTGGAGTAGGTCTTGGCAGATGTCTTTGGCAGAAAATAAATTAAGTAATGGTTTGGGCTCCTAAACTAAAGGTACAAATATAAAAAAATGGTTTTAGCATCTCTTGACAAGGTGTAGAAAGAAGAGTGAAAGTTCTATCACCTGCAGTGTTTGTTTCCATCCTTTACTTAGAAGTAAATATGATTAAGAAAAAAGTGGCACATGAGCTCATCTACCAACTCTCCTGCCACGTTTTGTTTTTTTTTTAAGCAGCAATCAACCAGGTACCTGGCAACCTTGGCTCTTAGACATCCAGAAATTCCAGACGAATGGCTCCGTATCCTATGTGCAGCGAGTCCAACTTGTTCTGAATGCACTGAACGTCCTATGCATTTGTGGATTAAATGTGCATGGATGATAAACCACTTCATTTAGGGCATGCAAGTTGCAGCAGCTTTTGCATCAGACCTGTCCTTTTCCCTCCTCTGCCCTTGAAAAAGAGGGAAGAACCTATTAATTTTCAAAGTCTTTAAAGAGACACCATGCCAATCCATCCTCATGAATGAAAGGAGTGTTTTTTATATATATATATATAAAAGGAGTGTTATATTATGTTATGTAATAATAGTGGGTGTTCCTGTTGATTATATGGGATTAAGGGTCAGAAATCACTTCTGAAGCAATGTAGATTTTGGCGAGAGGGAGAGGTGAGGGAAACTGATTTGTCCACTTCTAAACTATAGTTTGCAGAAGACAAACCTGAAAAGGCAATATTTTTTTTGCTTGTGGGTGCGGTTGGGATTTTTATTTGGCACATCCATCCCCTCCCCCTGCTGCTTTGTAATTAAGTCTCTACCTTAATGGATGTGCTCTAAAGCCCTCAATAATGCTCTGGTGCTTCTTAAAATGTGTGCTATAGAGCCCAGGGAGATGAAATATATTTAAGGAGAGACTGATAAGGATCTTCCAGAAGGTACATGATTCATTTTAAAGCCTTCAGCTTCAATCCCAGTACCCATAAGTGAGGCAGTGAGTGTGCAAACATAATTTAATAGCATACATGCAGAGTTTCCGTCAAACATCTTGCAGCAAATTATTTGTCTGCTCATGGCATTAACCTGGTTAACTTTGCCTGAGTCAATCTAAGGAGGGCTCAGCTGTCCTTTCCAGTGGAGCTGTGGGGACAGTAACCACAGAGGGACAGTGACAAGCAGCTGTCCTCAACCAGCAGAGCTGTTTGCAAAGTGAACTTCTCTCCCTGGCATAATGAGTGATTTCTGACTTCTGTACCTGGGGTTCTCCTGTGCCGCCAGGCGCTTTCTGCACACTCCAGGAATTTCACACAACAGCTCTGGCACCTCAGTCAGTTTGCAGAGGAGAGGGAGGAAAAACCATTCAGTGTTTGTAAACTCAGTGTGATAACAAGTTAAATTACTGCTCATAAAAGTGAGGGAGTGTACTCAACAAAGTCTGTTTCAGTCAAGTGGCATATGAACTTTTCCCAGACATTTAGCTTCGTCACCAAATTCCAGGGCCTTTCTTGGTTTGGTCAAAGATGAATAAACTTTTAAAGGTTCCTGCTCCTTTCCACCCCACTGGGAAATGGAATTACTCAGACAAAATCCCCTTCTGCCACAGCAGGGTTATGCCAAAGTTTCTCCTTTATAAGATACCACTAAACCAAATACTGTTTGTTAAAACCAGCTGTCCTATGGTAGGCTACTTAGTTCAGAGCAGAAGAGGAAGAGGAACAAACTTATTTGTCTCCCTTATGTGAAATTGTGATCTTTGAATTTTTAATGTATAGATACGTGAAACAAGGGAGTCTTTGTCAAGTGAGAAGTTACTTTTATATTGGATAACAATACAAAAGAAATTTTGGAAAATACCAGAATTGCCAGATATTAAATTCTGTGTCCAGAAGTAAACACTTAAACTATGATTCTTAGAAGTGAATGTACAGAAGGAAGTAGGGACATTAATGAAATTGCTTAGAAATCTCCCACCTATGGGATTTAGCGTAATTCTGGGAGCTTAGAGTCCCTCCTTTTCTGAGTTCCTTTCTTACCTTCACCAAACCTTCTGAAGGCTAAAGTATTTTTCCCTTCCTTTGTCTTCCCCCACCCCTTTCATTTCTTTAGGTGGTTTCTTGCAATGTTGTGGGTGATTCTGTTAAATTTGTCGTCACCGTCTCACATACTTCACCTGCAGCTGCAGAAAGTCAGTCGTACAGTGTGAAACTGTCTCCACTTCACTTGCAGGTAAAGTATTAAGTGTTATTCTCTCTCTTCTTCCATTTGTTACGTCTCATCCCACAGCTGAGCTGAAGCTCCTGTTTGCAAAATGCCTACAAGCTCATGTTAATTCTGGCAAAACATTTAATAATATTACAGTTTCCCTCTGGGGCAAGTGATAAATTCATAAATTAAACCACCTCTTTAGGAGACTGGGTAAATAACACGCTGGGTGAACTACTCGGATGTACAGAACAACAATACCGTTTTTTTGACTGGCATACACTCTCAAAGCTTAAGTAAATTCTGCTTTCTTAGACCGTCACTTTGAATTTACTTACTGAGAAACTGGTATCATTCCTCCTTTGGTGAGGGTTAGTATGGAGCTTGACCTACAATTTCTTTACAGGACTTCAGAACACTCTCTAATAACTGCTTTCCTATCCACAGCTTCAGCTCTGTGTGAAAGACAAAGGAGAAGATGTCAAAGTTGAGTGGTTCCTCATTAACGCCAATGAAATCAACTTTGAAATCCAGCCAACGGGGCAGGAGGTCAGTCAGGAAGTTTTATTTGTTGTAATGGTAGAGAAGGTGGGTCTCCATCCCTTTGGTGCAAAACCTGCTGTAATGCTTTAGGTTAGCAGCAGAAGTGTGTAAAGTTAAGGTACCAGGTGAGGCTGGAAGAGCTGAAGCAAAAATGCCTTTCTGCTGGCTGCCTTCGGTAGAACCGTGGGGCAGTTACCTGTCGGCAGTGCCATCTTGAACTGCTTCAGTGACATCTGCCATGGCTTATCCATCAAGACCTTACATCTCTGAAATCTAGGAGCATATCTCAAGATCGCTGAAGCATTAGAGATAAGTCTGTATTTGACAGACAAATGACTTCGCAAGCATTTTTCATCCAAATTCAAAGGCATGGAAAATGTCTGTTCCTAAATACCTTCTCTCAGACCACTTCCAAAATAATAAAAAACCCAATTGTAATGGTGTTCCCGTCAAAGTAATTAGAAAGTTGCCACTTCCTTAACTTAAATCAATTTTGACATCTGGCAACAATAGTTCAGAAACAACTCTGAAAAAATAAAATTATTTAAGGAAATGATTGGGGATCTAAAAATACCTTGATGCTTTTGGAATTGTACCTTATCTTAGTATATAAACACCAGTTCATTGAGGGTTTTTTGTTGGGACATTCCCTGAAAGAATTTCTTCATGACTGAGACTCTCTTTTTGCTCTGACCCTTCACATTATTTTTTTTGGCACAAATGTGGTGACTTAAGCTTTTCTTACAACAGTGGGTAAAGGCTTGCTTGTGTTTTGTGAAGTTCGTTTTTTTCACTGAAGGCCTCATTAAAAAAATAGGTTTATTGTATAGTAGAGCTGCTTCTAAAGACCTGTACTGAGTGACGTAGAATTGTAATAATTTATTACCATCGGTTTTGTACGCAAAAATGTGAAACTCATAACTAAAGACAGACGAGTCTTTTGAAGTGTGCTTTAATGTAGATTTTACTGTGCACGCATAGCAGTGTAAATGGCCTTCACGTGTTGGGGTGGCATGCTGATTATCCACATATTGAACAATCATTAAGTACTTACTGGCAAATGCAGATGACTGGTGCAGTGACTGGGCTTCACAACCTGCTTTATGAGAGATGACTGAGTCCAGGGTTGCAAAGGAGTTGTAACTTGTTGCACTTTGCCTGCGTTTTTCAATTAAGCCTGTTAAATTCTTAATAGTTAAGGGCTTTATTTTCACTTTGAAGTTTCTGTTAGCACTTAGGGAAGAGGGGAGGCAATAAACAAGGAGCTAAAACCTGTGAGCAACCTACACCTTGGAAATTGCATCCGCTTCTAAACTTACATGTCAGCTTTTGTGCCTTGTTTTTTCCTCTTTTGGAAACAATATTGTGTGTACAAATAAATACCCTCAATTGCTTGTGATTATCTACACAGTGGTTTTGTCATCACTCAGACAAGGTGGGTATAATAACCTATTTTCTGTTGATAAGAGCCGGGCGAACTTGAGTTGTGTTTGGCAACTTGGCTGACTGGCAGGGCTTGGGTTTGCATGCGGTTGTGCTACTGTGACTTCCATGTGCTGGCGTGTCCCAAGCTAGCCACAGAAGCTGACTCTACACCCCTAGCCCATGTCAAACCCAACATAAAACGTGCTGTCTTAAGCTTTTTTGGTTGGCATTTTAGCCATTATGTCTTGCCTTGTAGAGGGTGATGTGGTGGAGCATTACTTTCCGAATAAGGATGGCTAAAAATGAGATTGGGCTGACAGGAGCTTTCCAAAGAAAACTGCTTTCCAAATAACTGTGGAAATGTCAGAAAGTAGCTATGAGTAGAAGTCCAATGACTATTGTTGCTGTTGTTGCAGTTAAATAACCAAAGTCAGATGAGGTTAATGTCAAAGCAAGACACAGCTGGGATTTTACAACTTGACATTGTTCTTCATCAAACAGTGTTTAGATAAAAACAGGGGAGGGAAATTACCTCCAAAACAGTGAAAACTAACTATGATTTATCTGGTTACTTAAATAACGCCATTACTGAAAATGATGCTTTAGACAGCCTCGTTTACTTCATTAATATTTTTAAAAGTGAAAGTGTATTATCTGCAAGTTGCAGAAATGTGCTACTGCCTCTTTCCTTGGCAGTTGTTTTGAGGGAGCACGGAGCAAAGCAGAGTTTCTCTGGGACTGGTCGATGCTGTTGTACGTTTTGAAATGTAGCAACCTGTCATCAAAGGGCGGTTCGGTAAGGAGGCAGTGACACAGGATTTCTGTATACAACATTCCTGGGATTTTTATGAAACACCCTAAATGTTTCTGTCACACACCTGGGTAATTGGGAAAGGGCTGTTACTCCAAATCTGTTTGACCTGTTGTGCCAGCTGCAAGCAGACCTTTAGGAGTGCAGAAGCCATTGCAGGATCATTCTCCCACACCTAAGGAAGGACCTGAGGCTTTTGAAACTACAGATTGCCTCTCATGCCGAGACCTCTCTTGTGATGAAGGAGCGCGGTGCGGGGTGTCTGGGATGGCAGAGCCTGGGTCGGATAGCGCTGGAAGCTGGTGGTGTGCAGCCACAGTGTTATCAAGGCAGTCCACCAGGATTAGGCCATCAGCCCCCCACTTCATCTCCCTGTGGGTGCAAATTGGGTGTCCTCGTCATCCGTGTGCCTTGTTTTTGCGGCAGAGCCTGGTTTGTTGGCCTTGGCACGCCGGTTGTAGGTGGTGTTCCTTTCAGACAGCAGCATGCAGAAGAGTACCTCTTTCCCGCTTTGTGTGATTATCAGATTCTCCAGCTGTTCTGTATCTGCATCGGTAAATCAGTTCCCTTTCTTTTAAAGTCTTGTTTGGTAATAGTAAAATCTCCCAAGTGTAGTACCAGGTAAGAAAAGATGGATGAGTCCTCTGTTATTTAGGTCAGATCTTTGTCTCCTACTTCACTTTTTTCTTTAGAAAACAAACCTCACTGAGATTTCTCCTGGGCTACCTTCAGAGCAGCTGGGTATCAAACTGCCCTTTCTGTGATAGCTTAATTTAAAATCCACTCCCTGTAGGCAATTGAGCAGAAGAGACTTTGTGAGCAGCGTAACGTGGGAAGCAGGCTTCTCCAGGAGCACTGCGAGGGCAGGGGTGGTTTGCTTCTTCGTACACCTTGCAATTAATTGTGTGAAGCTACCTGCGTAAGCAAAATCCGTGGCCTGTTCTGATCCCTCAGAGATAGTGGTGTTAAGCGCAGATGCCATGAGATTTTTGAACGGACAAACATACGAGTCAGTTCCCCAGAGCAGCATGACTATCTGTCCATCTTTTTCAGCACGGTCGAAGACTTCTGAGAGGTGCTATATTATTTTTTTCAGTGCAGCACAGGATTAGCTTCTTCTCAGCTGTTGCAAGCTGGCATAACTCCCATTAAATTATGGAACAGTGCCGGTCTGCTTATCTGATGACCTGATCTGCTCTCTTAGAGGGATGCAAAGCAGTGCAAGAACACCATCATAAGACACAAACTGTTAATGAAACTTCTGGTTTTGTGGCTAATAGCTGTGCCTTCCTAACTCTCAGAACAGCATCTGACTTTTTCAGTGTATATTTCTAGTTTTCCTTTAGTGCATAATATAGAAATTTAAGTAATTATTTGCATGATCTTTTGTTACATTTTGGTGTTGGCAACAGAAACCACATCTCTCTCTGACAAAGTTAGTGTTTGGTAGCTTTGGTGGTTTAGATACACCAAATTAATTTTTGCCTTAACTTCTGTTCTTCTGAGTTTTGAGAAGCATGATTGTTTGTTTCCTCTTAGGGACAGACAGCAGGGACATGTGCAATATCTGAAACGCTCAGAGGTGTTTTGAAGAACCTCTTTAGCTCAGTTTCTCCATCTGTAGTGTTGACTACGAGGCCTACAGATATAAAGGAGGTTCAGGTAAGTCTTATTCCTACATAAACCTTTTAACAAGTCTCTTTCTGCTTAGTGTTTTTATTATATATTTATGACTCACAAATTAGTAAGTTTAACACCGTTTGGTGATCAGAAACAACCGTAACACATTCTTTAAAACAACATGGCCTTTGGCAGTGAAGGCTTTGTGATCATAACTCCTGCGCAGCTATCTGTTGATGTTACACCCCATTGCACGTCTGCTTCTCTATATCAATGTGACAGAAGTTTGAAGTATTTTGTTCTTGCATATGTGCGATCCCTCTTGTTCTGCTTGCTTTTCACAGAATGTACAGAACATAAGCCTTCTCCCTCAGGGCACTAGTCCGCCTAAACCTCCAAGGGCTCATGAACTCAAACTGCTGGTAAAAAACATCACGGTAAACCTAACTGATCCCAGTGCTGCAGGTAACGTAGCCCATGCAACACTGCTCGTTTTCAAGCACGGTTGGTTGGGTGGTTTTTTTTTTTCCTTTCGACTGAAATAATTTGGAAGTTCTGAGTTAAAACCTTGTCTCAAAGCAAGATGTAAGAAATTGCATGACTCTGAGAAACAGACTTAGTCATGCTTGTACAAAACTGCATGTTTTGGTTTATTTGAGTATTAAAACAGCTTGATCGTGTAGACAAATCCATCATTTTTGAAAACAAATTGAAATGAGCATCTTTGTAAAGTTGGTTCACTATTTTCTGGAGTTTAGTTTTAATTTCTAAAAGTTATCGCTTTGGGTGTACCCAAGACGGGGGGCTGAAATCCAACTCTCCGTTAACTGCTAGCAATGACATTGGTTTGCTTCAGGATTACCTTATTTTTACAGCTGCTTTTCTTTACTTCTAAGCAATTCGTTGATTTATCTAAAACTCTCCTCCTGTGTGTAAACTCTCCTCAAAGGTAGTGTGTTGTTGTTGGGGATTTTTTTCCCCTAATACAGTGGCTGTCTGGATAGGGGAGGAGTACCTCTTGCAAATGGAGAATGAAGCCAAAAAGGAGGTTGCTGCCTAGTGAAATTGCGCTGTTGGTTTGAGAAAGAAGCACCAAGCCTGTCTAGCGAGTATTCAGACTTCTTCAAGTGCAAGCGTGCCTGCGTCACTGATTGAGGCATGAGCAAGCGTATTTCAGATTTTGTCAGCGGAAATATAAATTTGAGACTCTGTTATTTATGGTCGCTAACAGTTCCGTAAGAGTCTTTAGTGGAAGCTTGTGGCTGCTAAATTGGGCAAGGTGCTATTTTTGGATAAATATATCCTACTTGCTATACTCCTTTTTTCAGTTATATGTAATAGATTTCTGCCCCAGACTCTTGCATAATGCTGCTTTGCTCACCCTGGTTGGAAATTATTCCCCTGTAACTTTCTGCAGACTGTTTTTTAAAACCCAGTTATTTTTACAGCAGTTCTGGAACTCTTTGCAGTGCGACGTCCTATATAAATAAAACTGTGCTGGAAACTGTAGATTGCAGGAAAACGTCATTCAGAATTTGTTATTACTCTACAATTTTGTAGTGCAAACGAAGCTTTTCTATAGAGCAGATCATTTTGGCTGGCTTTAAAACTCAGGAGATGAAATGCCTTTACGTGCATACCATGCGTGCAACAGAGGATTCATCTTATCGGAGGCTTCTCTGCCCACTCCCTGAAAATGAGAGGAAGAGAGGACAATTTAATGTGCTGTGCTTTGGGAACCCAGATATTCAGAGGCAAAATCACCACTTGCTCCTCTAAAAGGAGATGGAGGAATTTTGCTGGTTCCCTAGCAACTCTGGGAGTGTCAACTCTTTGGAACTGAGTATGAGAAATAAAGCTTCATAGTGGGGTTTAGCTGATACACTGTAAATCCAGTGGAAGTACTGCACAGCTGGGAAGATGGTAGCTGCTGGACATAGCTTGCTGCCTTTTAATTATTGTTCCCTTCTCTTTTCCTGGCCTTGTCTTGCAGCAATAATTAATTATCCTGTTGCAACTCTGAAACTCAGTAACAGTGTGCAATATGGCCGGCTAACCTGCATAGACAGCTAGAGGATTGGGGAGGGGTGGTTTGTCTGTCCTGATCATTATCATCCTATGGGTGCTAACGTGGCTTATAGGAGCTTGTGGCTTTCCTGTAGATATATTAGTTCAAATGGTAAGTAACCAGTAGCAGAACTGGCCTCTGCTTATGGGCTGTGCCCATTTTTATCTCCTTAGTTTGTGTATGTAAACAAAGATTATCCCGGATTTAGCACTATATGGTCCACAGTGTATCATCTAGGGCAAAAGTGATTTCTGCTGTTAAGGAAAAAAATGTTAGTTGTGTGCACTAGGGTGTGGGGGGCAGAAACGTTGAAATACCGTCTCAGTGGCTCCAGTGTGATTTCGAGCAGAGCTATGCGGGCATTTCTGGCCCGGGCTGCTGAGCGCTGCTGGCAGCAAGAGCAGGCTGCAGAGACATATGGCTGGGTTAACAGAAAACCACCCCAGGTTCATTAACTCAGGCTCAGCGTGCTGTGAAAGCAGCTAAACTACTTTACTCCGGGGTTAGCTTGGATCCCAAATAAGCTGCCTGTACACAGTGCTTTGTCTCCTCTAATAACCTTGCCAGGGCCAAGCTGCTTCTGTGCCTGAGACAGGGCTCATCCACAGCCACAATGCACCACCAAAGAACAACTGAGAGTTGATGATGGTAAATATAAACCTAGATTCTTCTGGAGAACTGGAGGCAGTGTACCTTTTGTTTGCTTTGCATACAGTCAATACAGAGCTTTTGCCGCTTTCCTTGATATTTTCTAGCACTGGAGCTGAAATGATTTCTGATGCTGTGAAAGCCATACAAAACTTTTTTAAGAGTAACACGTTGTACAAACTGTTTCCCCTTGGAGCAGCACTATAACTACTCTGATATGCCGATTTGCCACGCTATCAAATTCTAAGATCAAGGTAGAGATAATTCTGCACCAGTACTCTAAAATGCCATGAACTTGTTAAAAACCACAGTCCACAAAGCCATTGTTAATTAACACTACTGTCATCATTCACTTGCTAGCAGAAAAAGCTTGCTTTGATGTCCAAAGAAACAACCGTGACTGTGGCCAGTAGGAACTTTGAAAACTCCTGTGATTTTTAAAGCAGCTGAAAGCAACTTTACTCCCTCCCGTCCTCACACTCACGCTGCGATCTCCTTGCTGTTTATTCTGTCTCTCCATCCTTTTTGATCTTTTTATGCCTGCACTTTTTTGCTTCGTGCCAGAATTTAAATCGGGTCGTCATGTTTCACACTATGCCGGCAAACCGCATCCTGGGGTGCATCAAACCCAGCGTGACCGGCCGGTCAAAAGAGGTGATTGATTATCCCACTGTATTCAGCGTTGGTGCAGCCTCACCTGCAGTACTGTGTGCAGTTCTGGGCCCACTGTTTAAGAAGGATGTGAAGGTCCTTGAATGCATCCAGAACAGGACAACAAAGGTGGTGAAAGGACTGGAAGGCATGTGCTGTGAAGAGCAGCTGAGGACCTTGGACTTGTCTGGTTTGGAGAAAAGAAGGCCAAGGGGTCACCTCATTGCTCTGTGCAGCTGCCTGAGGAGGGGAAGTGGAGAGGGAGGTGCTGAGCTCTTCTCCTGGGTATCCGGTGACAGGACACGTGGGAATGGTTCAAAGCTGTGCTAGGGGAGGTTCACACTGGACATTAGGAAGTATTTCTGTACTGAGAGGATGATCAAACACAAACAGGCTTCCTAGAGAGGTGGTCAGTGCCCCAAGCCTGTCAATGTCTGAGAGGCATTTGCAGAATGCCCTTAAGAACTTCTTTAACTTTTGGTCAGCCCTGAATTGGCCAGGCAGGTGGATTAGATGATGGTTGTAGGTCCCTTCCAACTGAAATGTTCTGTTCTGTTCTATCCTATTCTAATGTAGGACAGTGCACAAGACGATGATGACCCAATCTTGACCATAGCCATTAATGTAGATGGTGTACAAACTGAGGGGAGGGAAGAAATTTATTCTGCGGGTGGGTGAGGATGCGTTTCCAATAGTCTATTCAAAAACACCATATGTAAAGAAGGGGGTTCTTGGCTTTCTTTTGAGTAAGTGTGCCTCCTGGGGACGGAATATTAATAACTGGATATTGATTTTTCTTACCCTTACAGGCAGCACAAACCTTACATGTATAGCTCAGTTGAATGACCCTATGCAGAAGTTTTCCAGCTCTGTAGCCAAAAATGCTGCAAATCCCTTTTGGAAGGAAGAGTTTATCTTGTAAGTAACTTACCTACTGAGAATACTTTTGTAATAAACCATCTTTTTTTTGCTTAAACTGTGTGAGATTTCAAGAGAGAATGGCATTTTGAAATATCTCCTGTCGAATGGCCTCAGAGAAATCTGGACCTGGTAGGGACACCAGGATGTCCGATTACCGTCTGCATGGATATGAGATCAAATAGGTCTCTAGATCTTCCCTGGTAGATATCTGATTCTAGTAAATCACATCAGTAACAGGCATAATAAATCACCCTGTGCTTTCATACAGTGCCAAAAAAAATTGTTAGAGAGGTTTAAAAGTCACTTTACCTTGAAAACTGCATTTGGGGAAATCTGTTCTCTCCCTTCCCTCCTCAGAGTGGGAAATGTAAATGTGCAAAAAAACTTGACCATCTAAAAGAATGGTGGCCATGATTAAAAAGGGAGTGTAAAACCAACTAGATTTTTTTTCTCTAGAACAAAAATGGGAATTTCAGGCAGCCTGCATGGTATTCTGACTCATGCAGCTTCTGTAAATAAGGTCAAGAAATGAGCAGTTCTAAAAGTATTCTCATTTCCACTTTATAGCAGCAGAGCAGAAATATCTGGTAGCTTCTGTATTGTATGAGTTGAGGAAGGGGGAGCCACTGACGGCGGGGTGGATCAGACGGGTGTTTCTCCAGTGGCTTTAAACACACACACGGGCAGGCAGAAGCAGCTTCCCAGGGGAAGAGGGTAGAGGTGCTGCCACGCAACGTACTGCAGATACTGCTTGCTTGTTTTTTTCTAGCAGATTATTAATGTGAGAGGCATTTGATGTGCAGTGGAGTCTCTCTGGTTCTTTCTGTATCTTTCCTCTCCCATGTTGGTTCCATTCCCTTCTCTCTATACGTAAACAATATATATGTCAGAGAGTCGTGCTGCTTGGTTTTGTGTGACATTTATCTTCGCTGTCTAGTCACAGCCTGACATCCACTGTATCCATTCCCTCTCTTGCAAAGCAGAGGCTTATCTTACAAGGAATTGAGCGTGTGTTCAGACCATTGCCTGTCTGTGCTGAGTGCTCTCTTCCTTGAGGAGTGGCGTGCACTTCTGCGTGCTCCTCCTCAACTTGAAGGCGGAGTGAGCGTGCAGCGCACAGATCTTTTTGTGCCTCCTCATCGCAGTCTGCTGGACTGCACCTGTGAGGGCTACGGACCGTGCGCTGCAGAAACAGGAGAGCTGAACGGAAAAGTGACAGAGGCTGCTTGATTTCAAGGAAGGTGCCAGGATTGGTCATCACAAGTTGTACAGGACTTGGAGAATTCCAGACCCCTCTGTATGCATGTAGGGAGTGGAGGTGATTAGAAGTCATTATAGTCAGCAAAGAAAGATGGATGTTGTTAAACAACTCTAAAAGGCCTCACCTTTTTATGTGGTCTGATGGAGGTGTGTCCACCTGGTTCTCATCCTGCTGTCAAGCGGAAAAGCAGTGAGGAACCTTTCTTCCTTCAGACACATATAGTCAAATGACTTAGGAAGCCTGATTTTAGTTAGGACAACCTGCAGCTTTTGTGGAAAACCACAGATCAGACCACGTTCTTCTGTGACAGTGTGCTGCATTGCCATCAAGACTTAAGTACTAACATGACACGGTTTCTTCTCCACACTAAGAAGGGAAAAAAAGTGCTTCTGTAGCAGCTTGGTATTCTGGAGTATCTCAAAGTGCTTCAGCCACTGGGTTTGTGAATCACTTCAGCCATCTGTTGGTGGAACAGCATCTGTGCTTGGTGTCACAGAGCAAACATGTTCTCAACGATTTTGGACAGGAAGTTTGTAAGAATAATACCCTTTCCAACTGAAAGTGCAGAGAGAGGGCAGGCAGGATGTGATTAAGTAGACTGGAATTTCACCTTGACACGAGGGATAATACTGGGTTTTCCACAGCGTTGGCTGCTTTTCAGAAGTGCATGAGGTAAGCTTGGGGACTTTTACAGATGAGCGATCAGGATTTGGCTGCATACCTTCTTTCAGATTCACATCTCGCCCCCTCCCTTTCTTTCTTCAATAATGAAAATACCCACCAGTCTGAAGACCAGTGTACTGGCCACCATGTCAGGCTCTGCTTTACCTTGGTGGGAAGAGCAGCAATAGTACTATCAAGGTGCTTCCTTGCACGTTTCGGAGGTGCAGGAGGGGATGGTAGTGGCAGGGAAAAGCTTAAAACCTGCTGCATAGATGGTGTCCCACAGCATCTAATGGAGGTGGGATGCCTGCAACCAAGATCACATCATACTGAAATGGAGACATACAAAAATAAAATACATACATGCATGCCCTTAAGCTTTTTGGCAGAACACCTACCTGAGAATGTTATAAAATCAAGTTTTACTGAAGGTTCCTCAGTAGGTTTGCTTCACTGTCTCAATTAGAAGAAAGGTTTTGTTATCTGTTGTCTAGTCCATCTTACAAAGTACTGCATATGCCAGTAATTCTGCTAATAGTTCATGTTGGTTCTGTCACACAGAAACTAGTTCCTGTTATCTTACAACATCCTTGAGTCTTATTTTGGAAAAGTAATACTGACTCTTCTCACATAAGACTCTAACTACTTTTATTTACTTGTATCTATCCTCCTTTTGCAGGATGCTTTCCTGCTTTGACAGGATACCCCATGGCTTTGAATGGGTTGTTGATTGGACCTGTTGCAGCATCTTGACTTATAAATTTGATCCTACCAGGAAAAAATAGCTTCTTAGTGCTGTGGTGTAGCAGTCAGGATTAGGGACCAACATCAGCTTGAAGGGGAGTATTTGTCAACTACCGGGGAGAAGAAAAGCGTCTGAAATTTTAGGCAATCAAACTTCTGCAACAGTGCTGGAGAGAGGCTAGCCAAGTTTTTCTGACTACGATCCCTTTTATCAGTCTTACCTGAGGTCAAAAAGGTGCTACGTAGGCAGCGTGGCCGGCAGTGCTGCCATGTAGTGCTGCCTGCCTGGGTTAGCAAGTTCTGCTGCTGGGCTTAGTGCGGGCCAAGGAAAGTTTTGGTGTTGGCAACCGGAATGGGAAAGGGGAAGACCTAAGTGGGGAGAAAAATCTGCTCGTCTGCGAAGACCTAACATGGTTTCATTTACTTTACAGTGAACTAAGTGCCAAATCAAAAGCATTGCAACTGCAAATAGTAGAAGATGGAAAGTTGGATAGTAAGTATTAAAACTGAATTGTTTTGCATGATCAGCTCGTGAGCATTGCTAAATGTGACATAAGTCCTCTTTTAGTTCTACCCAGCTTTAGAGCCATATCTCTCAGATTTCTGAACCTGCATTAAAGCATAGATGTTTTATGCTGACTTGTCCTGGTATTGAAATCGGGTATGCCTCAAGCATGGATGTAGGCAGCCCTGGGGGGAAGAACAGCTGTGGAAGGGAGATCAGCTGAAAATAGTCAGCCAAGCTTGTATGAAACAGACAGCTCAGGGAAAATTTGTAACTTAAGTTTCTGGTTTTAAACTCCATAAGCCTGTCCTCAAATTTATGTCCTAGAGTTGAAATCCGTGGAGAATCACAGAGGTTTTGGGCAACACTGATTGACCTGGGTTAAGCGCTGTTTATGTACACCATTATTTCCATCAGTAATCATGGACAGAAGAGACAATACACTGTTCACGTGTCTCTGTCCTCCTCAGAGTTAAGGTTACAGAAAAGCCTTGAGTTTCTTTCTAGACTATCAACGTCCTGAGTCTTCCATCTGCCGATAGCCTAATTTTTCAGCCTTCTAAACTTTTAACAGATCCACTGTGAGCAATTTTGGTTTCAAGCTAAGCTTCCAGGTCTTTGTGTGGCTGAACGGGAATCATGTGTGTGAATCCTAAATCCTTCCTTTTCAAGCCCCAGAGGCTTATATTATTAGGTATAAAACACACTAATTCTGATTATAGTGGATTAAATACAAAACTTGGGAGCTGAAACTTTTTTTATTACTTAATTCTATTGCTGCAGTTTGCAAGTAGCTTTTAGTGGCAAGAAAACTCCTCCACTGAACTGTTGCATTTGGTTTATTTGGAGAAGCATTACCTTCCAAATGGGGGTAAGGGGTGGGTGGGTGCTGAGACCAGGCAGCACATTGAGGTGTTTGCATAAGCTTTGTAAACTTGCTCCAGGTACTTCATTACTTGGGCTTTACTGAAGGGATGACACAACATCATAAATTCTTCTCCTATACAGGAGAATCTGCTGATACAGAGTTGTGCTGTAGCTAGAAATAGTAACTGTATTTCACCTTGTGGATCCATTTGCTTTTTCCTTCTTATGTCAGGTTTCAGGTGTAAAACAAACACGAAAGAAGCATTAATTTTTGACACTCAGCTGTTTCTCTGGGTTTAGTATTGTCAGTTGTATTCAGCTGAGTTCAGGAAAAAGTTATAAGTATTGGCCAAAGCTTTTCATACCCAGGGATTAAAAAAAATATGCTTTTGCTCATTGTGTCTTGTGATAGTGGATGAAGGCTTAGCCAATAATAATATTTTGTCTAAGCCATGTTTAATAAGTAATATAGCCAAGTGGACTATGTTTGATTTTGGTTTTGGGTTGCTGTCTTTATTTTTATTTTTAATAATCTACATATCCAAAGTCCTGCAATACCTTGCATATGATCTGCAATTATTTGAGGGATTGGGAGGTCAAATTTAGATAAATGCTTTAAAAAATTTCTCTGATGTGGATGCTGGTTTTTATTTTTAACAAAAAGTGGGACCTATATACAGTCAGCAAATGTATATTGTTTCTTTCATAAACTTCAGTCTTGCCCGTACCTGCATATTTTTAGCAGCGAGTCTTCCAAACAACCAGTAAAATTCCACATCCTATTGAGAGTGTAACTACCAACCTGGTTTCTTGAAGAAAAAAGTCCCAATTGATTGCACTGGCAATCATCTTTCTTCCCCCTTATACCGTCTTAGCTGTTCTTCTCCCAGAAATTTGAATAGAAAACTCAAAGTAGAATCATATTAGTAAGGAGAGAGATGAGTAATATGAATATAATGTAGATCTCTATTTGTCATTAAATTCCGCAGAAAACTAGGATTTCATCCCTGAAATCATGCAGTAATTTTACTGATACTTTGCTCCAGTCTAGTGTAGCTAATAAAGTAACAGCTTGGATGTGCACTGAGTTTGTTGGTTTGTTTTTTTTTCTTCTAGGACCTTTGTCTGCAAAGGTGACTGTACCTCTAGACTTGTTCAGGAAACAACCTTCTGGCCAGCAAAGCTTTGCACTGAACAGCGGGGCCGGAGAGAGCAGCTTAGAGCCAGGGCCCAGGCTGGGATCCATCAGTGCAGAGGTACTACTGCATTTGGCTGGTTTTACAATGGATCTTTTACTTTGGGAAGTACTTGCAAATACTCGTCTTATACTTTGGACTATCGTTTTCAGTGCAGTGCCATTTGTGGCGGAGTTAGAGTGTCGCATTCAGATTGCACAGTAACACTTCATATGGTATTTGTGTCTATCAAAAGAATTAGCTGTTTGGCTCTTGGACGTTAGTAATAAGTAGCTAGAAAAGATAGTGTCCTTCTTACTTGACTGTGCTTCTCAGGTGACATTTTTTTGTCTTCCTAGTTCTCTTTTATAGAACCCAATGAATTAAAGACGTGGCAAGTCTCTTCTCCAGTGCCAGCCGCTAAAATAGAAAAGGATCGCACTGTGATGCCCTGTGGGACTGTGGTCACTACTGTAACTGCTGTGAAAACCAAACCTCGTCTAGAAGGGAGATCATCTCCACTGAGTACAGGTGAGGAAGTCCACTTCTTTGTATTCACTCTTTGGGTTATCTGCGGGGACCAGGAGAAGTTGGGGGTGGGGGGTTGTAAGGAAAGGACCAGGGGAAGTTATGGGGGCAGTGGGATGTAAGGAAAGGCACTGTTGTCCAGACTTCTCTGATGTGTTGGTGGGGGAGTCATTGCTTGTATTCTTCAGAATCAAGTTTTTAATTTTCATGAAACCTCGTTCTTACAAGAGGAGTGGTTAATGCTCCTTTTAATTTATGCTGTAAAGCTTCCTGGTAGAGTGATAATGCAGAAGAGCTTGGTTTTGGTGAATGATTTTCCACCTAACAAAAGTATCAGACTCTTACATGTTTGCTGATGACAGACCACCCTGTGCCTTCTAACCTTGATCTGTATCGTAATCTCTAATGAGGGTCGGTGTCATCTTGTGACAAAGTTGGTTTTTTTCAGCCTGTCTTTCAGGAGTAGATTCTCTGATTCTTCTTGGGATAACTATGAAAGTAAAACCTCTGAACAGTCTTTGTGTGAAGTCTCACAAAGAGCTGCATTCTTTTAAGTTGTTAAAGCAGATCTTTTACTGAAGCGGGTGCTGTCTAGCATATTACAGTAAAATGTTTAAAAACAGTAAGTTCCTACACTTCACAGGTCTTTTGGGGTCAGGTTACCATTGAGAGCATGCGTTGAGAATTTGTAATAAACAACTTTCTCAAACACTTATGAATTGAACGGGCTTTAACATTGGTACAATAAATTCTTTTTATTTTCATAATAAATGTCTCGAATAGTTTAAATAACCAAAAAACTTGGTCCTCAGATTCTCCTGTGAAAACTCCAGTTAAAGTAAGGGTGATTGAAAAGGATTTCTCTATTCAAGCTATCCATTCCCACGGTGCTCCAGTCAGCAAAACTTTATCATCTTCAGATACAGGTAATAGAAATGTTCAAAGCTGCTAATGAGACTATGTCTCTCTCTGCTGCACATGGGATTAATGTAATCTTGTTAAAATAACAGCAAACCCATATGGCTACTGCCTTTCAACAGGCACTGAGATGTTTATGTTAGCAAGTACTGTGGTTAGGGTTATAGCAGGCTTGCAATAGAAGTCTGTTTTGAATTGGTGCTTTAAATCACTAGGTTTGAATAAATAACAATGAGCTGTGGTTTGGAGAGGGGAGGTGACTGTAGAAAAGCCAGGCTGTCTTTTCTCTTACTTTTGCATGACAGATTCCTTCTTTATAAAGGCATGGGGGGATTTCACAAAATTAAGATCCTGTGAAACTTGCCTCTAAGGCCATTGTGTAGTCCCCCCCGTCTGAACAGAAGGCATGAGGCTGGACTGACTGGGCCTTTTTGTGCTAATGCAAGTATACAGTCTTGCTGTGCCTGTTTGTCCACCTTTCTAAGTCAGCTGGCATGCAGCTGAAGTGCCCTCAGTGTGTTGGGTGGCATTGATAATGACTTTAATTATAAATTCACTTTGACTTTATTAAACCTGACTGTGACTCTGGGCCATTTTACCTTTTTGAGTTGCAACTCTGAATCTTCAGCATATTTTTCAGTCCTGCGTGTGGTCACCATTCAATCTTTCTATAGCTCTGTCGGCAACAGTAATGAAAGATGTGACACAGTCTAGCTGCAAATGGCGTACGATATAGAAGTCAGTTTTCTTTGTACAGATTTGAGTACCATCTCAATCTGGAGATGATCTGGACTGCTCCTGGAAGAGTCAGAAGGCTTGCTGAGTGAGAGAAATGTATTGTCCAAAAGACAGAAATCTGGGGAAGAGCAAGAACCAATAGCTGTGAATAGTTGTAATAGCACTTGAATCTTTCCCTGCCTCTAGACTAAGAACATGAAGCAGGACGGATATTACTAAGCCAATTTGGGAAGTGTTAAGATAGTGCTAGACTTTTGAGTTAGCTCTTGTAACTGTTTATTATATTAAAGATACAAAGGACTTACTGGAAAACTCATCTGAAGGCAACTTAGAGCACATTGATAAGGACAGCGTTTTTCTTTTAATGGGAGTGCAAGGGAATTTCTGTGAAATGTTTATACAAGGCAGCAGGAAGAGTTACTCATTAGAACAAAAGTTTAAGCCAAATGAAAGCAATACAAAGGAACATTTGGTGTGGCTCTAACTTAGGTAGTAGTTATTCCAAACATCGTGCCAAAATAGCAACAGGCACTATGGAAAAGATGCTGTGGCTGTGCCATGGTTTTAAGTGATGACAATAAGAATTAGCAAGTGCCACTGATGCTGTCCTGGATGCTCTCAGCTGTCCCTGGGGGCTTTGCAGTGGCTAGGCGGATGGAAAGGTAGAGGTTTATAACGAGCGTGCAGACATGAGTGGGCATGCATACCCCTTGTGCAGGCATACTCTTAAGTTCCAAAAGTATCGGAGTTACTTGATGCAGTGTAATTATTCAGTCCTTGTCTTTTATTGCATTAATGTCACGGTAACAAAAGACACTGCTCAGTTTAATTAACACTGGTGCTGTTCCTGCCTGTATTCTTTTGTTGTTCAAATTCTTATTAGAAAAGCCCATCTCAAACAATTAAATATAGGCATTTTTGTTTTGTAACTTTCTTAGCTTTGTTTGCTCCTAAGCTTGACAAATTTGATTAGTGTGCATTTGCTGTGCCCAAAGTACTTGTATACTAGATGCCAGAAAGGGCCATGCTTTAAAATAAACTTGTGTTTGTCGCTAAAGAGCATTTTATAAAGCAGGTCTTGTAATCCTGTGCAATGTTTGGAGGGGAAAAGGGGATGCACTTTACAGGCTTTGGAGACAGCTGATAAAGAGCACAGTGACAGCCACTTTGCCTTCCCCATCTTGTAGTAATGCCATAGCAAATCTGGAAATGCCAAGCAAAGATGTCTGGAAAAAGAACAAAATAGCTACCTGAAGAAGTAGTAGCACGTCCCAGCTTTGTACTGTGTTAGAACTATGGCTCTTCATGACTGTGATGCCTGATGCTCTACCCGCTGCTTCTGGATTATAGTCACTGCAGTGTACCAGTGCATTGAAATAATTGGATGTTTTGTCTAGGCTTCCAAAACCTTCTGTGTGCTCAGGGCAAGGGTTTGTAAGTGCAAAACCCACTCAAAAGAATGGGTAACAGAAAGGAAAGCTAAGACCCAATAGCTGGATGGTGAATTCGAAGATGTTTTTGTATGCCTGGTGTTTGTACCATTTCTGCTAATTTCTTTGCATTTTAAGTCAAGGACAGACTCTGCCTCTCTTTGCTCTGTTTTTTCCTGTTTTTCTTTCTTCCCTCTGAAGTAATGCGTTCTTTTCAGAACTGCTGGTACTGAATGGCACCGATCCTGTTGCAGAAGCAGCCATACGGCAGTTAAGTGAGTCTGCAAAGCAGAAGCTGAAGTCTCCTAGAAAGAAAAGCACCATTATCATATCAGGGGTGTCCAAGGTAGAGCAGAAAACAACACTTATACTTAATGCTTAGTACTGTAAAGTCTTTGGTGCACTGAGTGCGACATTAACTTACCATGCCTTCTGCTGTCTCCCATTCAGCAGTCTCTGCAGGATCTAGGTCTGTGTGCCAGTTTGTTTCAATAACTGTTTCAGGTTAAGCCAAATCAGGGTGGGTTTGGTGGGGAGAGTGTTGGGTTTTGATTGTTAGATTTGACAGCCTGCCTAAAAATATGTGGTATCCTTGGATAGGAGTGGGATGATTAGGGATTTTGGAAAACCAATCTAGGTGAGAACAGAAGATCCTTCTCTGTGTTTTGCCCATGGTGGGAAGATGCACAGAAAAAGTATGAAAGATTTTTCTGTTTTTTTTTCAAAGTTGTTAAAACAAAACCTTCTGAAAAACATCCTAGTCCTCTGAGCTCTGTTCCAGAGGGAGGGCAAACAGAAGGCTGTTTCTCCCATGGTATATAGCATTCCTCCAGACTTTCTTCATCCACAGCCTCAGTCTCTCATCTGATGCTTGGTGCCTGCCTGTAGTCCTTTCCCTGCAGGCTGCTGTACAGACATTTGATGTCAAGTTTTCCTGTTATGCACAGGACACCCGAAGAGCTCTGAGTGAAAGCCGAGTCAGTGGGCATGGATCCCCTCGTGATCGCTGTGCTGAGGGTGGGGAATGAGGGTCAGCTGCCACAGTGATGAATGTATCTGCTTGGGAAATGGGGACACTGGGACTGCATGGGTTTGTATTTAGCTGATATAAATGCCCAGAAGTCCTCCTATGAGATGAAACACTTTGATGTTTATTTTCTTAAAAAGACCAAAAGATTATGCATGCTGATAATTCATTACAGCAGCACATGTGGGAAAGAG